TGTTCTTGGGCTGCAGTGGGGTTGTAGAAGGTGACGCAGCTGCCTCTCATCCCTGTTAACAGCAAAAGTTAAGCTACCAGGTAACCTTTTAAAACTGCAATCCTACGAGGAATACCCCTTGGACTCCTAGTACTCATGTGGATGAGTTAAGTTAACAACAGAACATTTTACCCTCTGTAGAGTTAACAAAGAAAGTGTGGCCATGCTTCTTTCTCTAACCCACCTCACCGAGCTGGCATGAATCGCCTTATCTTTGGACAAGGTTGCGGTTGGTCTGCAACACCAGTACAGAAGAACAAGACCCTTTCACTACCCCAGTACTGGACAGCTGAAGCTTGATGGAGCAGAGGGCTTCACACATCTCATCTCTGGCACACCAAAGGCTGGCTTGCAGAAAAAGTATTTTGTAGTGTGGCCCAAACTATTTTAAAGTACGCCAAATGTGATGATTTAGAACATGTGTAGGCTCCACACTTCACCTACTGTACATGTGAAAAAGCATTTGCAGGAAGCGTGTTCTCTAAGCAGCAGTATTGGATTTCTTTCATACTTAGCTTGTTCCTCCTCCTTCACAGCTTGTGAGCAGAGTGCAAGCTGAAAGGCAGGGAAATACAACTGGATTGCTTTGCAGATATAGGTAACAAAGATAGATAAGCCACAGGTGTTTACTTTCTTGAATGACACAGCCAAAAAAAAGGCAAGCCTAAGTCACGCTTTTCCCAGAAATAAATGCATTTCAGATATTACAGATATTTCACTCCTAAAACAGCCTGTGAAAATTGATAGACTAGTATTTGGTTTGCTTGCAGTGATTACCTGCTCTTCCTTATTTCTTCCCAATGCACTGCAGCAAGCAGCGACACTTTAATCAAATATGTGACATGGCAGCTGACAGGGCTTTCTCTAAGGGAAATTCAGAGATTCTGGAATTTCTTCACACAACCTTCATCTGAGATATTCAAAACAATTACTTTTTTGGCTGGCCACAGAAGAGATAAATGACAAAATTATGAAAGAGGCTGAGCATGAACTCCCAAGGCTGGCAGGTAACAAGCTATCCCTTTCTTAGGAAATAGATTTTAACTATGCCAGGGCTTAAATTGTTTTTATATAAAATATGATCAAAATTAAGCAAAGGCTATAGGCACCTTTGAGTCTAAAGTAATTTCAGTTCCCTTTAAATACAGTTATGAAATTAAAATAGTGCCCCAGATACTGTAGTGAGATGAAGCACAAATGCTCTACAGTAAAGAAAGACTATTGTATGGTATATTTCTATTTTGCCCATAAAAATTATGCAGCATTATTAACATATTCTAAAATTATCTCCACATAATCTGCATCTGGAAGCATCATAACCTCACTGGTAAATAATACGTGAGTGGATAAATGGGACTTCTCCCTTCAGGGTTCTATAAAGATTCAAGGAAAAGGAAGTACTTTCCACATGATTTCGTCACTATGGACACTTGCCCCTTTTCAAAATTAAGAATTATTGAGAAGAACTGCCAACTTTTTTCCACCCTTTATTTTGTCCAGCTATGCTTTTTTGTTAAAAGAAAGGATGACCTAGAAAAGTTTCATCTCCTTCCTAAGGTACTGATGACTAAATCAGGTAGCTATGCAAAAGCAATAAACATATTCACAATGACTAGCAAAGGAGTGATATATTATCTTCAGATACCAGTAGGAAACAGAATCCTTCACATTCATTCGATACAGCTTCCAAAGTCAGATAAAGGTCAGACGCACTTAAGATTCTTTTTCTTCAGAGAAATTATGCAAGGTGTTTTTCCTCACAAAAGCTCTGTGACAAGTAAAACTACAATAAATTCAAGCTATTCTGTATTCAGTTGCTCAGTCGCTTTAAATCTCATATTGAAGTCCGCTTCCTAACACAGTCAGGAGAATGAGGAAAGCCTGGATAAATACAGACCTGACTTTCCAAAAAGCAGGCAAGCCTTGTAATGAAAGGCACTACCTGTGGGGGAAGGTATGAACTAAACAAAAATACATGGCAAATAATTGGGGGAATCAGAGTTGCATTATGCAAATATTTGTAAATAAATCTTTTTCAATTGTTTCTATCCTTATTTACCAAGCTAGATTTTTTTTTGCATAAGCTTTACTCATTCCATGCTTTTCTTCATTTTAACAGTTAAAAAAAAACTTAACCATATTAAGAAACCTGAACCTTGTGGACATCCCACCTTTTTTTGATTATCAAGTAATTTGTTTAAAATTAATCCAAAGCAATCACTTATAGTGAGATATTCTTTATGACTAAGGAGAAGTCATCTGACTTCTCTCTCCTCCTTTACCAAGTGTTTGGAGGTAAGAGATATTTATTGGCATGAACTACACTTCTCTAATTGCCCACCCCTTCTTCAGGGGTTTACTAATTAAGCAGACACTTTTTAAACCTTGTACACTATTACACGGAGACCATATCCAGGTAACAAACTGCAGAAGAATATGGTAAACCAATCCTTCATTTAGTAGCTGAACCTTCATGGGACACCTGACCTCAACAGCCTTGCAGGTCAGCCATGGAAGCATTTTCTCCTGTTGGTAACAAATTACACTTTTAAGACTAAACCAGCCAGTATTTAGATGTGAGGCACGGGTGGATTTTCTGCACTAGAGGAAGGACTCACCTTTACATTCCTATGTGCAGCCTTACAATGTGTGAGCCTCAGGTCCTTCACTGCAGTGACCCAGAGACTCAGCAAGACATTTCAGCGTAGATAACATTTCATTACTTCTCGCCTCCTGAGCCGCCACTATGCTTGGAACTCGCAGGCTTTCCCCGTACGGGCAGCTGGAGGCGGCAACGGAGGCCAGTGCAGCATCACAGGGTAGCTGCACACTGGCTCCAACTGCCCGTAGCTGGCTGCCACAGCTTCCCTCAGCTTTTGAGGGGACACTGCCGTGCCCTCAAGTCACAAACCTCCGTCAACAGGAGACCACAGACCGCCCTGTGCTTGGGGAGGGCCAGGTGAGACGTGACACACAGGTCAATGAAGCAGAAGGGCCCTCCAATACGTGTACTGCACATTTCTTTCTATGCCCTCCACTGTGCTCTGCTCCACAGATCTTACTGGCACTAGATGATCGTTGTAGGTCCCAACTGAACTATCCTATTCTATTAACACACAAATCAGCTATATAAACCACCCCAAAACAGTACCAAACATACACCTCTGGCAACTCAAGAAGATAGATTCAATACATTAAAATACATTCAAACAACAGCACTCAGAAAACTTGAAATAATCCTGTGCAGCTTGTTGACGTTATAATTTGTCTCACGGAAGTCTGCAACTATACCTGTAATTTTTGAAAACACAATGCTTTGCATCTTCCAGCTTGAAAGCCCAAGTCCAAATCAGATTATCTGCATGCAGTGCTTGAGTTACTAGGTAGAACCTAGTAGATATGGTTTATTGCTGATCAGTAAAGTGACTTCAAATTGGTTTGCAGAAGGTATCAGGAGACACTTACTGGTTGTAGGGAGTCAAACTGGGGTATCTGTACCTCTGCCTTTTGTCCTCTGAATGTTACAATTCTCAAATAAGGACTTTTTATATGCCTGCCAGCTTCTTAAAATACTGCCTGCCTCTTGAAATACTACCTCATTTTCCCTGTTTCTATAGGCTCTGGTAAAAGGCGCTCAGCCTCAAGTGCTTTCAGGCAGTCTTATTCAAAGAATGGCGCAACAACAGAGAAATTCATACAGCAATGGAGAGGCCGTGCGCATTTCCCAAGACATCAAACAAACATGCAAAAGCATTACAGGGGGGAAAATTTACACTCTGGTACAGCAGCTATAGCACTGCACCAGAAATCCTGGGGCACATACAGTGTTGTGCTGATGAGCATGGAGCTGGACACACGAGTCTTGGCTCCCCCAACAGAAAGACCACCTTCATCATAACAGGGCATATTCAGGGAGCCTGATGTGTGCCCACTGACTGTGTTGGCAGAGGAAATCAAGTGGCAAGGGCTGGTTGGCACAAGGCTGTCCACCAGATTCAGTCTGAAGCATGGAAGTTGCTTCCATACACGCCTGAGGCCAGCAAGCTTAGCTCCTGAGCTAGACACCCAAACATGGACAGGGCTCTCACTGCTCTCAATCACAACAGCGTTCCCAAAATCCAGGAGTATAACCCCACAGCCTTGTAAAGTATCACCCGTACTAAAAAATTGTTGAATTTTCACTCTGAAGTCATACACAAACCAAACACAGATTACCCTGAAAAGAAAACTTGCTTCATGATTACATTATCCCATTAGCTATGGCATACTGTGTTTTTTTAAACTTCCCAGAACTGTAGGATATGGGATAGGTTCTTAAGCAGTTGCTTTATGTCTCTCTCTGGTCAAAACTAGCAGTCTTTATAGTCTTCTGTTTTGTGGCATTAATATCATATTTTTGGTTTATAAGTAACATACAATATAAAGAAACAATGTTTGATTTACTGATATCCAGCCTAAAAAAAAAACCCAACCTCCCAGCATTTTATTTTAATGGCATCCAAAAATACTAAAGTGACTGAAGCGCAAAGGACAACGCGAATCAATATTTTAAGTACTATAAACAAACGTATCAGACGCATAGAACTAATGCCTTAATTGCCAAGTCAGAATAACAACTGGATAAAAATTAACTTACAAATAAAAGCATAGAATTTATTGCCTTGTTTTTGGCACCAAAATACCTTTTAAGGATATTACCCTCAAGATTAATGCTTAGTAAGATGGTGTTGGCTTACAATCACATAAATCAGCAGAGCTATGTCGACTTTGTCCTCTGATATACTCCCTTTTTTCAAAACCTGAAGACATGCCAAAACTAATCTTGTTTTGCTCTTGTAATTTACTTCACTAGAAATAAATCTCAGCAAGACCACAACTTATTTTATAGAGTTGGGTGTAATTTCCTTTTTCTAGATACGCATGTTATGCAAGGACAAATACTACTTTAAAGCATTACTTACAGATTGCCAAGCAAGAGACTCCATAATTCGATGTTCACAGCGTTCTAGATGCTTTATCATTTCCCTTGTTAGGCTCGGCTCTGCTTTAATAAAGCTTTCAATCACCTTGTAGAAGTCAAAAGCTTTTAAATTAAATACATTTAGAATCCATGGGAAAGACAAGTCTGTTTCAGCACTGGTACCATCACTTTGTGAAGCATTTCCTGCAGGGAAACAGACTAAAATTATCAAGAGTACTACATTCTTTCACTTCTGATGTTTTTTCCTCTTTCTATTTATTGAATCATTGCTAGTTCAGAAATTTCAGTGAGCACTACTATTTTTTTTTTTTTGCTATTTACTGTATTTTATGTATTAGAACAAATGGCAATAATTATCAATAACAATGCTATTTAGGACTTTAGGTTCAACTTACTGCCATATGTAGCCATGACAACCTCAACAGCACACGCCAGAAGAGATGTGTGGAAGACATTATCATTCAGAAGTTTGCTAAGGAGAAAGAAAGTTATTAATACTTGTCCTAACACTAAAATAGCAGACTTTGATAATATATTAGGGGCACATACCTAAAATTCTGCACTGAGAGGCGCTCTTCCTCCTGAAATATATAAATCACACCAAACTTGTGAATATTCTTAGTATTTGTAAATGTAATGCCAGTACTAAACTACCAGTACTAAACTTACCGACTTTAGCATAGACTCCATTACTCTGTAATATAGACGTACTCCAAGCTTGTACCTCTGTTAAAAAAGAAGAAATTCCAGAGTATTACAAGAAGTTTTAACAGACTACAACAGGCAGACTCTCATATTTTAACAATTCAGAACATTTCCATTTTTGGAAGAGCATAAAGAAGTCATTGACCGCAGTTCTGTTTGCCAATAGCACTGGAGAGGCCTCAAAGGTTACCAAGGTTTGTGGCTACCCCAACTACATGAAGACTTAATCAAGTGTTTACATTAATTCACAGACTAACAGGATAAAAAGCAAGGCTGACAGATAGGAGACTGTCAAGTACAAACTTGGTTAGATTTATTTTCCAGAATCTTTGTTGAAAGCACAGCTGGCCTACTGATTTTATAAGGAAGTGAGTCACCTTTTGCAGTTTTGGGCTAAGTTACTTTACTGAATGCAAATATACGTTTCACTAAATGTATTTTCCCCAGCAATTTTCCCATTATTCATTAAAGTACTCCCAACATATTTCCACCCAGTTCCTATTGCTCCTTATAAATTAAGAATAATTTGTTGAATACTATCTTTACAGCGCTTTAGGAAAAAATACCTGTCCATTCCTCAAGTTAAAAAAAATATTGTTACTTTTTACCATTATTGATCTGCACTGAAGGAGGACAGTCAGTAAGTCAGGTCTCACATTAGCTAATACCAACAAAATGTTACCTGTGAGCCGATTTCAGCACATCCTGGTCCAACTGCTTCAGCAAATTTCTTTTTGAAGATGTGGTCAAGACTTTCCACTCTTTTCAGGATACTATCCTTAGGGTTCACTGTGCAATTCTAATAAGTACAGGAAGCAGGGCAGGGGAAGGAAAGGCAAAGAAAGGACGTCTTACTTCATTACTTTATAACATCTCTCAATCAGCTCATCAGCATAAATAATAGCGGAGTATTTAAAAAAGGACAGAATTATTGTACACGTTCAACAATTTCCACTAATTACAACTTCATGTCTCACATGCAACTACCCTAACTAATATGCAAGTAGTACCATCGATGTTAATGTCTTTAATAAGCTTAAGTGGTTGAAACTGGACATAAGATCCTCTGAGTACATCTTCCTTTCTCTTCTTTGTCTCCTTTTATATCCCCTTCTTTTTCCATCTGATACATACATAAATAAATCCTAAGATTTAGTGCAGTAGCAAAAAGATTAAGAACTTATAAGGTTCCAGTACACATCAGTTAGATTGAAGTGCTTTCTAAAATGAGTAATTACATTTAAACCATCCCAATTAAAATGTACTTCTTCAAAAAACGATTGTTAATAAAGTAGTTTCCCAAAACACGTGCATCAGATCTATAGGCATATATTATACTTGAGTGATAATTCCAAGAATCTTTCAGAAATCTTCCTTCTAGTCACTTACATTGAAATACATGATGAGAGTATCTGATGGTTTATCAGTTGCTGAGTTTAAAATCATAATCAATTGCTGAATGTTATTCATTGCAGCTCTGGAAAAATACAATGAAATGCATAATAAACATTAAGGTTGGCTTGCCAGTTTCCAGAAACTAAACAACAATTCTACAAACAAACAAACAAAAAAATTATTCTAGTTCTCACTCCAGTTACCAAACCGCTTGGAAAAACTGCTGTACTGTGCTAACCATTGTGAATTATAATAATCTAATTTATCAAATCATCTAATTATTAGAATGATTACAATCCATAAGTAAACAACCAAAAGAACATAAATCACGTAATAAACACTAACAAGCAATAAAATGGTAAAATTGCAATCCTTGTATGTGAAAATACTCAGTCAAATCAACCAACTCCCTAACAAAAAAACTCCTTGGCTTTTGTACAAAAATAATACAAAAGACTGGTGAATGGAGATAGCTTTTATGTTTCAAGTCACCTGTTCAAAAGTGTAACAAGTAAAATGTATTAAAATATGGCTGTCACAAAATAATACAGCCTTTTTAACATACATGCTTTGAAAAACCCACATTTTTCAGAGGTAGAGTTGTCAACATTCCTTTTGGCCACAGCATGAGAACAGAGAGTCTTCTCCCTTCCTGGATCTGAACCCAAAAGTCACGTTAAAACTTAAATTCTTACTTTAACTCCAATTCCTTCTATTTGCAATAGAAAGCCTACAATTTCTGTAATCCTTACTCTACCTGCTGTATCTGTAGCTAGATTAGAAGGATCTTAACTATGAAATCTTCTTCACTTTTAAAGTATTATGGATGGGAAAAAGGATGTGGACATTAAAGAAATTTTTCAGTGTTCCCAAGAAATGCAAACAATATCTTCTTAAAAAGTAGAGCAAAAATTCTTTATTGTCTAGATGAAAAGTAGATAAAAATATGAGTAACATTTTATTAACTTGGATATACTGAAGTATAGAAGTTGCCTCTATATATGATCTTACTGGCATTATTTTACAGGTACACAGTAAAACAAACAAACAAACAAACAACCACTGACATCAAAACTATTTGTATCTCTACTTAATGCCTAGAATTTTCTTGCTAAAAACAGATTCAATACCACAAGTAATATCCATTGATTCCTATCCAATATCTTAACATAGAAAATTACTAAAGCTAACCCAAGTAACAACAGTACTTCAGAAAAATTGTAATAATTTAAAGAGTTAAGAATACTTTGAAGAAAAGTAGATAGGATCCTGGGTTTTTTTGTAGAACTTTATTCCACAAAGTTAAATGCCTTGTTAAGCTGAGTGTATAACTTTCTGAAGAAAGCATTTTTCAGTTTCTCTTCTAGAACTGAAATCCTAATGACAAATATTTTTCATGACTTTCAAAAAGATCATTATTTTAAGATAACAGAACCTGGCCTTGTCTCAAATAGCATGTATTATCCAGGATGTGACTGAAATATCTATAGGTGGGAAAATAAGAACAATAATGACCTTGTCATACAGGACAAGAAGAAATGTGCACGAGCTAGCATCTAAACAGCCCCCACTTCCAACTTTTGGGGATATCATGTATTGTTCTGCCTTTACTATTTGCACATACATACATAAAGAATAATATATCCAGTATGTCCACATGTACTAATGTGACCTAGCTTTTTTTTAAACATATTTCAAGTTGTATATTAAACAATTGCATTAATTTTCTATTATTTCAGAAAGTTTAGTGTATTAATTTCTCTCCTAACATCTAAGAAACAGTTTGATTTTTCCAGTGGTATTGTTACTTTCTTAATTTTTTATTGTGGTAGTTATTTTTAGGTGGGGTTTGTTTGTTTAAAATTTCTGTGCCTATTTAAGCTAAATTTGGCTCATATCACTCAGAAAATTAATGGAGAAAGAAGAAAAATATGTTCAAGCATTACAACTGTAGTAGTGCAAAGATGCATTTTTCTTTAATCTACTGTCCTAGTTTCAGATGGGATAGAGTTAATCTGGGGTTAAACCACGACATCTACTTTTTAGGAGGTTTTGGTAAAATCACTTCTGCCAAAACTCTACTAGTGATAAGGAAAAGCATAAGGACAGTGGAAGAAAAGTAAAATGAAAACACACGACCCATTTTCATTATGCTCGGCACTAGTACTTACACCCATTTTATCTACTGCTTTCTATAAGAACAACCAGATACAAAACTACTGATGAAAATTATTAGATTCTCACCAATTTCAGGGGGCTTCAAAGCAGATCCTAAGTGTCTATGTCCAGAAAGAAGACATTATAAGAAGATTCAAAGTAATAAGTATGATGCTTTCAACATAACCTGTAAGGGCTTCTACTTAATTCAGGGAGAGTTAATGATACGCTTTCCACGTTATGCCGGTGAATAAAGGTTTACTGCCATCTAGTGACAGTACTATGGCTTTAGGAAAAACAGTTAGTACAGCCCAAATCGCCGCTGGTGAATGAGCCTTCACTTGAACTGTCTTAAATGGCGTCAGTTTTGGAAAATTCAGAGAAAAGCCCAAATGTGGATGGAGAGAATATAAATTTCTCACTAGACCTCCTCTCAAGACCAAAGTTGGTTTAGAACATTTCAAAATTTTAGCAATGTAGAAAGCTGGTACTCCTGGACTTTCTTAGTAAGACTTCCATGTCAAGAACTTTAATGAAGCATCTTTCACAGTGTTAGAGGGCTTTAATTCTGGTATAATTGAAAAGTGTCAATAGCTACCTGTATTTGTCAAAAATGGGATTTGTTGTCAATGATCTCCTTGTTAAATACATTGTACGTTATAGATGGTCCAGTTTCTAATATCGCACATTCAGTCTGGGAACCGACAGGCAAACTGATGCCTTTATGGCTAAAAAAGCATCACTGGCAGTTAAAGATTTGAATCTTAAGACTAAAAGGGACCACTAAGGCAACCAAGTAAAGCCTTTCACAGTCACAGGTAATTAAAAGTTCTTTCATATACTGATCATTCTCTCTTGCAGCTGCATGTCTCTTTTTATTATTTTTATGAAGAAGCTTTTCAGAACCTTGCTGCTCTGTTGGCTAGAAAACAATTAGTTTCTACAGATGGCATTTAGTAGATTTATAGTGGATGCACAAGCCCAGACTCTAATTCATTCTTCCACAGGCATATAAACACTGTAGAAGTATTTTTAAAAAAAAACAAAAATAATTATACTCCTTTGAAAAAACTGAAGTAGTAATTAAGGATACAATACTTTAACTTCTCTCATCGCTACAGCATGCTAAAAATGAAAGGCATTTATACAGCAAGCATGGAACAAGAACTTCACTGTCCGATTCTATTAAACGTGACACCTTAAGAATGACTGTGCAGACACTTCTCTGTTTGTCCACACAGCACATGGCATTGCAGTGACACAGCTGGTTGGTTCCTGAGTGTCCAGGAATTTCTAAGCACCACCAGACAAAACCATACCAATTTTGTCAAAAACCTATGTGGCACAAGGGAGAAATGGTACATGCAAATCTCCTTTCCTTTGCTTGACTGAATTCAAGCTTGCAGTTTTTCTGCATTTGATTGTAAATCAAACATTCTCCAGTTTGAATACCAGAATACCACATTTCTACCCTATCTGTCCATCTGACCAAAATATGCTGGCACTCTGAAATGCTCATCTTCCCAACACAGAAAAAAAAAAATGTTGGTATTCTGAAATGTTTATCTTCCCATACAGAAAAAACAACACTAAGAAGAAAAAGATCATGGGAGAAGAAATGTGTGTGCATATGCAATTTGGTATCAGGAAAGGAAGCCAGAAGATACAGAGATAGAGTAAAATGTGAAACGAGGACAAAGTATATCAGACAAAGGTACTACCATGGATGTATAAAGTTGCATTCTCACAAGCACAAATACAGTAATCTATTTTACAGCCATCTTGCACTTCTTAGACAAGTCAGTAAAAAGCTTTCTGTTTTCCAACAACTTCACCGTGAACTGAGGGCACTGAGCACCCCTCAGTACATGCTCAGTGCTCATTAGTGAGCAGAACTACAGTCTGTTTTACGAAAAAAACCAAACCAAACACCAGTTGCTTTAAAATTAAAACAACTACTCTTTAGATTAATATTTCTAGTTACATTATTAAATAAAAGAACACAGCTTAAAAGAAAAACTCATACCGAACAGGAGTCTGTGGAAGTATAAGATTAAGTTCCTCATCTGGATTGTTTTTTACTGGTGTCCTCTCCAACTGTGAGCTACAGAAATGGAAAACAAACTTATGAAGAACTAACGTACTTCAAAAAAGAATGTCTTCTATAAAGACTTATGAATCTTAGGAGAAGACTGTGGAACAGGTTTTTAGAAGATCTAGATGTCCAACCACCCCAGTTGTTAGAACAACATAATTTAAATTCCCAAGTAGCTCTGCTTCAAGCAGGATGTTGGACTAGATGACCTCCAAAGTCCCCTTCCAACTTTTTTTTTCCCCTAGAATTCTATTTACAAACAGTTTAATTTATATGTACAGCTGGTATTGGTTCCATTTTAATCCAATTTTAAATGACTTTTTCTAGCACAGATACAGTCACGGACTCACATTGTGAGCTCACATGAAGTTATGGAAATGTTGAACTGTCAGGAACCACTGGAATTTAAGCATATGACTGGAAAAAAAAATCAAATAGAATCACAGAATAGTTTGGGTTGTAAAAGACATTTAGAGGTCATCTAGTCCAACCCCCTGCAATGTGCAGGGACATCTTCAGCTAGATCAGGTTGCTCAGAGCCCCCTCCAGCCTGACCTGGAATGTTGCCAGGGATGGGTTGCCATCTCTGGGCAACCTTGTCCCAGTGTTTCACCACCCTCGTTGTGAAAAATTTCTTCCTTATATCTAGTCTAAATCTACCCTCTTTTAGTTTAAAATCATTATGCCTTGTCCTATCACTACAGGCTCCACTAAAAAGTCTGTCCCCATCTTTCTTATAAGCCCCCTTGAAGTACTGGAAGGTTGCAATAAGATCTCCCCGGAGCCTTCTCTTCTCCAGACTGAACAACCTAAACTCTCTCAGCCTGTCCTCATAGGAGAGGTGTTTCAGCCCTCAGATCATTTTTGTGGGTCCCCTCTGGATCTGCTCCAACAGGTCCATGACATCTGTATTACTGAACAGCACCAGGGACTGTGCCTGGGCACTGGTACACGACTGTCCATTCTCCTGAACCATCTGTGGCCCGTTTCTGTCCCATGGAAACTACCATTCCTCAAACAATTTGTGGGTACACGTCAGAACTGAGAATGGGCTGAGGACCACCCCCAGCAGGCAGCTTCCAAATGCCACCATCTGGTTCTAGGAAGGAGGATCTGGACAGTGAGGACCCAAGCCATTCCATGCCAGCTGACCCCAGAGCTGTGACACTGCCTCAGGCATATCTAATCAACTAGCATGACATGGCTTTGTCTTCCTCCTGATTCTTTGGCATCCCCTGGACAACAAGGGCTTGCACAGAGCTAGATTAGAGTACAGTTTCCAAATCATTTTAGATAGAGTCACAGCCATATGTTTTCTAATTATTTAAGCAATAATGTAAAGCAAGGCTGGTGATGCCAGAAACACCTTAGCTGAACTACAAACCTAAAAGGTCAGCAGGATACAGAGATCTCCATTTATAACATGAGGGGGCAGAAAACAACACAAGTTCACATTTTCTATTATAAAATGAAAGTAATAAATGGAAATATTACCATGCTATTACATCAGGCTGTAGAGTTTCATCATGATCCAGAAATAATCTTGCATCTATATCTTTGCTTTTGACATAGAGCTCATCATACTGTTTTGAGAGAACCTCAACCTCAAAAAACATTGGGGAAAAAAAAAAAACTTTATTTTATAGGAACAAATTTGACAATTGACTGAATAATGTAAGCCAGCCAGTCCTACCTCATGAATACAATACTGAAATGCTAAGAGAATGACCCTCATGCTCACAAAGTCACTTCTTGCACAACAGCTGAAACATACCCAGAGGAAAATTATCATTCCCACATGCAAACAAAGATAATCTCTTATAAGAGAAAACAATCCACGATCATGAGACTTTTTTGAAGAAATGTAGGTCTTGACACTGTAAAAGAGCTAAAAATAGCTAGAGTTGGAGACATAGACCTGCAAATCAAACTAACATTTCCATGCTTTTAGATCTTTCCTTCCAGAAAACAGAGGTGTCACCAGGAGCAGGAAATGTAAAGTGATTGTCCTTAGAACAGCTGTCAGACAATTGGCTTGGTCCCTGTCTCTACTGGTTTGGAGATGAAGGCCAGGACCCAAACTGAAACCTTCTTGTTCCGAGTATTAGAAGAGTTTCCCCATTTCATATTAATGTTTGTACTGGTGTAGTTCTTAAGATACATGCCTATTTCTACAAAACTATAGATCATTATTTCATATCCACATTGTTATTTTTTAAATGGCTGTTAAAAGCTTCTTTGCTGATTAGAACCCATATTGATATGACTTAATTTTGCATGGAAAAGTTTGTTGGTCTGGGGTTTGGGTTTTTGCTGTTGTTGTGGTGGTGTTTAGGGGTTTGTTTGGGTTTTTTTGGTTTTTTTTTTGAGTGACTAAAATTAACTGGAAGTCTGAATTTTTTTTTATCAGGGCCAGATACTAGACTCCACTTCAAATCTGCTGCTGTGCTCCTGCAGAAGTAGTCAGTCAATTATCTGTTCCCTGAGTTCTTAAACATACTAAATGATGCTGTGCCCTGGCAAATTCCTGCTAGGAAAAAAACCACATAACAAAGCATATGAACCCAAATTACTCCCCTTCCAGTTGCAAGAAAAAGCAAGCTGCAAATACCTCCTGCACAGCTTTGCTTCTCATCCTCTCCTTTTACCTTTGCCAAATGAATTTCCTCCAAACTGATCTCATGGTTAAAACTTTGAGATTAGGACTATTAAATCAAAGATTATCTTTCAGTTCCTATTATCACTATTTTTTTTAAGTTCATTATCTTTTCATTTTTCATTATCTTCCTAATGGCTTATGTGTTCTTTTTGTCTAAAATATTTCAGTATTTCATAACTTCTAGAAAATTCAGATTCTCACTGCAGAAAACAGTAGCTCTTAGACAAAATGGCTGTACTGGGCTAACTGGGAAGAAACCTTCAGCCAAAAATAAAGTTCTCAATCAATCTAGTCATCAATTCATAAAGCTTGACCATCAAACACACAGTGAAGACAAACTAAATACCAAAATTAAGCCTCAAAAGCTTTTCTTGTTTTGGAAACAACATTAAAATTTATCAAAAGCTCAGTGTTCTTTTTATGAAAATGAAAGTCAATTTAAATGTCCCATATTACTAGCTATCGTACTGATATCAGTTATACTGTACTGACTGATGGTTAGTTGGATTACATATATGAACTGACTACCACTGCAGTATAGCTGTAACTTCTGCTTTGTTTTAGAACATCCCCTTGGGCACTCAAGTTTCAGGAGCAACTATCATGTGACTGGATTTTTCTTCAAATGCATCATTTTATAGAATTTTCACCAGCAAAGTCTTAGACTCGTAATTTTGATACTATGCTTAAATTGAGCAGCCTTGGATGAGAACGCTCACTGATTTGAGAATAAGCTGTGTAATGACCTTTGCCTGAAGTTCATACAGCGCTTCCCAACTATATATACCCATAAATTAAAAGGTCTAAACACAGTGCTGATAACCTGAAATTAGTTTTGGAAGAGATGAAGACCTTTAGCAGGTCTTGTATTTTGTCCCCCACTCAACACACTACGAAACTGAACAGAACACATCCTGCACACCTTCAGTCTGATACGCTTCACATCTGCTTATTTTCATGTTACCACATCTATTGGTGACACACAGCTAAATCTGCTCTTTTAAGAATGATGGATGTAAATACATTGCAAGGAGTTACCTACTAAGGCACACTCTTGCATGCAACTGCATAGATGTAGTCTGCTGCATCCACCCTACAACTCAGTAAGATGAAAGTAATTCTGCATGGACAGAGGAGTCCAAACTCTGCCAGTTGTGAAACTGAGCCTAATCTTTCGGATCTCTCTCCAACATGACTACAGTAACATGTCTCAATTATGTTTAAATTAGGGTGTGTAATTTAAGACTGTATGCATCTATAGACTGACTTCAGAGACCTGACATTGTAATAGTTGTAATTTAGATTAATGATCTCACGAAGATCATGGACATGCAACTCTTACATCATGTTTTGCTTTGAGCAAAAGCACCGGTTCAGCCTCAGGAAATTCATTTATTAAATTCAAATGTAAAAGCTAAATATACTCCATGAATACGGGAATCCCTGCTAAGCCACATTCCTTAAAAACAATATATTTTGCTAGATGATTTTAGAAGAACCTACTAGAAATTTATCAATATGTAAAGGGAATCTTAAGCAATTTGGCATGAAGTAAAGCACTGTTGTTGAACTGTCTGAAATTCCTCTAATTACCTCTGGCAGTCCATTTGAAGCTACAATACCAATAGAATTCAAAAAAGGAATAAAGCTTGTGAAATACACATTTTTGACCTAAAAAAAAGAAAAAAACATAACATTAGCAACGTACAAAGGCAGCCATGCATACACTACTTTCACATCTTTAAATCAAGAAACTGAGACACTTTTATAATGCACTGTGTTTTGTTTTCAATTTAAAAAAAATGAAATTGCTTCCATATCCAAAACATAGTAATATGTAAGCATGCAGTGCACAATCCATTGCTGGAACATTAAATGACTAAACTGGGAAAGAACTGCACTCTTCAGACTCATTTCTGCTTCCATCATCTGCTTGGATCTTCAAGAATCAGTCCTTTTTACACAGGAATAGATTTATCAGTGAAGGAAAAGGGGAATAAGGTCTTTAGGATCCCACACAGAAGCAATGTCTTGTTGTGTACATTTTCTTATCATGGGATACAGCTGTGAAACCCCATCAGAGCAGCCCTGCATCCACAGGCTACTTGCTGTGATTAGCCTATAACCTTGTACTTCATTCTTCACAGTTCAGTTTCCCTGGCAAAGTTATCACTCATACCAGAGGGCTTGTTTTGGGGCGGTTTTTCTGTTGTTTTGTTTGGTTGTTTTTTTAAAACTACCTACTAGAGAAACTATAGAATGGTAGAATACCGTTCAACGGAGGGTTACGAGGATGGTTAAGGGACTGGAACATCTCTCATATGAGGAAAGGCTGAGAGACCTGTGGCTGTTTAGTCTGGAGAAGAGAAGGCTGAGAGGGGACCTTATCAACATGTATCTCTGAAGGGTGGCTGTCAGGATGGAGCCAGTCTCTTTTCAGTACTGCCCACTGACAGGACGAGGGGCAATGGGCATAAACTGCAGCACAGGAAGTTCCACCTCAACATGAGGAAAAAATTCTTTACTGTGAGGGTCATGGAGCACTGGAACCGGCTGCCCAGAGAGGTTGTGGAGTCTCCTTCCCTGGAGACCTTCAAAACCCGACTAGACGCATTCCTGTGCAATCTGCCCTGGGTGATCCTGCCTTGGCAGGGGGGTTGGACCAGATGATCTTCAGAGGTCCCTTCCAACCCCTACCATTCTGTGATTCTGTGATTCCCTTCACTACTGAACTTGAGAGAATAGTTAAGCAAGCACAAGTATTGAGATATAAAAAGACCACTTAAATAAATGTATATTGCAGATGGGATTTAACAGCAAGATCTAACAGACTTTAAAACACAGGCATTACCTCATCTAAATTACAATCATGCTCTTTACAAAGGATTTCAATAACTTTTGTATCGGTATCAATTTGCTTTGAAGTACGTGTACTCCTGTTCTGACCTCTTCTTGGAGTTCGAGCTGAACCATTAACAGTCACTGCAGTCACAGCAGACTCTGGAAAGATAGTGAGAACCATCACAAGGTTAGAGTTGTCTTAAGGAAGAAGAGATTTAAATTTCTAAACCTAAGAGATTTAAATTTTTATATTATTTTTCAGGTCCTCTTCTTAAATATTTCCCTTTTCATCTGTTCAGCTGGCTAAGGAACCTTCATTACAGAAAACCTATACAAAAAGAAAACTGATTTTTAAATTCCTGTATGAGTATTTGGACACTTTGTTTTTAAAAAGCTATTCAACACAGAATGTAATAGCACTTTTTGTAAGTAGCTTTGAATAAGCATCTGTTTTGTAAAGCTAGGAAAGCCTGTTCACAGATGAGTAACTATTTTTTCTACTTTTACAGAAGCGTAGAACAATGAGCTGAAAGAGAACTTCACTCTACGTGCCTGAAGATTAATAAAGTCAATGCAGGACTTAAGTGCTGGTGGAAACCTGAAATATGGTTCTGCAGGAAATTCCTCCTTTCCCCAAATACCCCCAGGCAAACAAGTAGAAACAAACAAGTTCACCTTGAAGAAGATATTAAAAAAAACAACTTAATTCAGTGAGGTAAAAATATTTTGTTAAGCTCAAAGTAGATGGCTTCAATATAGTCAGCTTGAAATATGTGAGTTATATTAATAACATATGTTAATATCACTAAATATTGCTGGTTTAAAACTGACACTAATCAGCATGCTGCTCTCATCTGTAACTTCATTTGTATTTGATAACTCTTCTCAGGAAAATCTGACAAACTACACTGCTCTGGTTGTTGCATCTTAATCCCTTCAGCCTTAGTCAGATCATAAAGCTTGACATCATTTAGCACAACGTGAAGCCTCTTGGTCATGAGGAGTTGAACAATACATTGTGTTATTTGCTAAAAGAATGAAGCACTGTTTGACAGTTTACACAGCACCTGCACATATCACACAGCTTCAAGTTAGAAATCTAATGCTTTACACTTATGATAGTGATACCCGTATTTGCAATTTAGTCTGAAGTGGCAGCGTTCCTTTTCAAGACACAATGCACAGAACCAAACTGTTTCTAATAATAGCTCCTAGTCGTCACAGTTTCACTAAAAAAAAGTAAACCTGTGTGAATACAGAGTTCAAAAACAGGTAGTTTCAATTCAGTGTTCTTTGAAAAAGATCTGCTTTATAACATATGAAATAAGCAGCAGTATATGTCTGTCCTACTATGAAGAACAAATTTAAATTCAATATAGTACTGGAGGAGGGCAGGGATTTGCTTGCCACAAGCCCATCCTTTCCCACCCTTAATTTTTATTGACATTAGAATAAAAGCAAGGTTATTTGTTCTTACCTGCAACAAATAATTACTACATCAGATTAATATCTTCCAAAACATAGAATTTAAAGAATATAGCAGTGAATACATCATCTCTTCTATGATATTATAACCCAAGCGGATATTCAGTTGTGAAACAAAGAAATAAAGCAAATAGATTTAGGCTATAAAGCAGACGATAAACTAATTAGTATCAAAAAATTGTCTTCTACATACTGTGGCTCCAAATACTTCAGTATATCAATTCCATCAATTTGCAGAAGAAAATATTCAACAAAAATAGAATGGAATTCTATCATTGAACGTTACAATAAATGCTTACTTTCCTTCCCTTTTAGTGAGGTTTTCGAGGTCTTAGGTATAAAAATTTTTATGTACTTTAAAAGTTACTGCTGAAAAGAAGTCTCCATAGTGAAGACCCATTATATTTTTACTCAAAATAAAGAAGATACATTTGCTAATAACAAAGGGGATGTAATAAAAGCAAAGCTACCTACATTTTACCTCTACTGTGGGTTTTTTTGAGCAACCACTGCAATTTAGGTTTTCTATCCACCGTGTATTTCTTTTAAATGTCTGTATAGTCCACAATCTTGTACATTTCTGTTGTCATCATACTGTTGTATGTCAATGAAATAAAAGTCATAGTACCATATTTTCCTTTTGTAACTCAAAGCCAATCTAAATGATAGTTCTCAGTCCACCTACCCAGAACGTGAATTCTTTTACCAAAGTAAAACTGATGTTTTAACAAGCGCCTGAACAACTTGTATGGGCAGAGAACATAGCAAATGGACGGTAGGAATAGAAAAAAAAAAAAAAGATTTGTATTAAATACACTGTCACATTCAGAGAATTCAAGTTCACTATCATCTAAATTTAACTAAAACATAAAAAAATCCATTTTAATAAGCTTAAGGAGTTTTATATTGTTAATTATGAGTGTTAGCATGACTCTAATAGAAATTTAACCAATTTACTTTCTACTTTAGTGAACAAAAATCCAAAATCCTTACTGTATGGTTCCTTGAGCATAGCAGGAGGTGACAGTTTGATAAAATAATCTAAGACACACAGCAACAACTGGAAAGAAATCACCAGGTCATCTTCCACTTGCAACATTTTACCTGCAAATGTTTAAAAAGGTAAAGAAAACCTTTGTGAAATGTTTGACTTAATTTTGAAAAAATAAAGATTTGGAAGTTCATTTAATAAAATGCTACAATTAGAATTCAGAAAGCATCATACAGGATGCCAGTGTTCTTTAAAGGCATCTTCTTTAAAGATTTTAAAACTCATGGTTCTTAAGAGGTTTGTTGCTTTAGAGATAGCATACATATAAACAAATTCACTGTGCACAGAATTCCTACCTCTCAGTGCTCCTTCATGATTTCTGTTGCATTTTACTATAGTGGAGTAACTGTATAGACTATTTTACCTACATGTACCTCTTAATTCTGTGCAATTCTTCCTCACTTTCTTTTTTCTGGTCTTACGCAAGCTTTGTGAAAGCTGCTAAGTATTCAGAAAGCAGGAGTTGCTAGTAGATAGTGAAGAGAAATTCAAAACATGCTATCACACTTTATGCTCAACCTCTCAAATTTATACAAAATGACTTAAATTCACACAAATATTAGCACTAAGAGCACTTTTTAAACTACATTATTCCAGCTGTTCACAAATTATGATTCATATGCCAGAGAAGACCTACAGGGCTATTCCAAGATGGCAAGCATCGCCACAAAAAATTTGGAAAGCTGATAGTGATTCAGAACAGCTACAGACCCCTACCTGTGCTCTATTTACATGTACAATTTTTGTATCGTTTTCTATCAGAAGTAGGAAGCATCACCCACGGTCTCCTGTGACTTCAACTATTTGCTAATAAATTTTAGCTTTCCTTATTCTCAGTGAAAAGGCAGGCCAGAAAAACTCTGTGGGTTTTGCTTTATGCTTATGCTTGGAGAATTCTACTGAAAAGGCTCCATGAAGCTCAGCTGATCCAAGACCTATTTTGATGAGAAGGATGTGTACACGCCACTGATAACACAGACCTGGAGTAAGGAGTAATCTTAATTACTCTAAGATACATTCATTCCTTTTTGTAGTAGTACAAGGACTATAAGTAGACAGGACTCCATGGACTACTATAATTGTTTCATCACTTAGCTTTAACTGGAACGTCTACCTTTTCAAGGAAGAATCATAGCATTCAAAGGACATAATTTCAGGGACTTATTATCTTATAATAATCTTGTTATCAAATTTATATTATTTATATATATTTTATATATATTTA